TTAAATATTAAATCCTAGTCAAAATTTAAATCCTAAAACTCTAATCTATAAATTTTAAAAACTTCAAGATTTAAATTCTTATTATCAAACTCTAAAATTTTAAAATCTAAAACTCTAAAATTATAAAACTAAATGTTAAATTCTAAAACTTTAAAGTTTAAATTTCTAATTTTTCATGTTAAATTTTAAATATTCAAATATAAAATTATTCTTCCTAAATTCTAACAAAAATTGGGTTTAAAAATAATAAATACTTAATTTAAAAGTAGTATAATAAAAAAATTAGTAATTTTTCTTTTATTATTGTGAATTAAATGTTTTAATATACACTTTTCTCATATAATTTTATCTAAATAATTGGTCTACTTTATCAATTTTTGATTTAAAAAAAATTTAAATTAACAAAAGTAACAACAAATATATACTGAGGGTATAGTAGTCAAGTGGCATTAATTAAACTTTTGAATTAAATTTTTTTTTTTGCCATAATTTTGGACTTTGACATTATCTGATCTCATTAAATAACAATTTAAGAAATACTTAATTGTAAAACAAATTACCAAATAAAGAAAGTTTTGTAATATATTAAAAGTACCTTAAATTAAGGATTATATAAAAATTTAGTACATAATATGATTTTCCTTTATTAGTTTCTCTCTTAATATATAGATAGATGTAGAATAAATTTTTAATGCAACATGACCAAATAGTTGAGTCAAACAAAAAAAATATGAAATAGAAGATGAAAAGCATCAAATCTAAAACAATTAACTGAATAAAATTTATACAAAAAGGAAAAATCAGGACATCCTGGCCAGGACATCCTGAAAATCCGGGACCCAAAACTTATAATTAAAAAAGAAACAAATACAATTTTATGAAATGATATTAATAAAACTTGAATAATATAACATAAAAGGGATTGAGTTACTATTATATTTTAAATAGTTAATACGACATCATTTTAATATAATTATCTATTATACCCTTACATTGTTTTTTTTTTTTTAATTCTACATTTTTTTATTTCTTAATAAATTTAAAAATATAATAGTTAATTAAAATAAAAAAAATGTAGCATTAATAATTGAATGTGTGATAATAACATCAATCATAAAAGGCAGAAAAGATGACTTTTTTATGCTTAGTTTTGTATGTATCTAAATTCAAGATTTTTTTATTGACATTATTGTTTTTTCGTACTTAATTCTCTCTACATGAATAACTTTAATATTGTTAAAAAAATAAAACTTCATACTTTAATTTTACAAATATTATATAATCACTATTTAAATTTTGTGAAATGGTATTAATAAAAATTTTAAAAATAATACAAAAGAAGTGAGATTATTGTCACGCCTTAAAAAGTTAATACCACATTATTTTAATATAATTATTTATTTTACCCTTACTTTTATTTTTTCTCCAAATTCCGCATTTTTTTCGTTTCTTATTAATCATTATTAGTTATTAATTACTTTAAAAAAAGGAAATGGAAACCTTGCAAGAAATGGCTAGAAAAAGGAAGAAGAAGAAGAAGAAGAAAAGAAAAACAACAACCTTTCAAGTGTTCATGTAAAGAAAAGCGCAGCCAAAAATGTATTGCACAATTTAAATATATGTATAGTTGTAATATAATAATTGATGATAGAATAACTCATTAAATAGTATGATATTTTTTTACTTTTCTGACTCTGGTAATAATAAATGTTTTTTAACTTATATTCTTAAAATAGAGCTTAAGAATATTTTTTATTATAAATATATAAAAATTAATATTAATTGTAGTGTCAATATTAAATAGGTGAATTAAATAGGTGAATTTAATTAGACAGTTGATAAATTAAGAGTTGACTTTTATTTTTCTAATATAAATTTATGATAAAAATGTATATTTAATACATTATTAACATGAACCCTTAGGGTATAAGTTAAATAAACTCTAATAATAATAATTATATTTAAAAAAGAATTCAAAAGCAAAAATTTACCAAAAAAAAAAGTTAGGTCATATGTTAAAATAAAGTAAATAAGATTAGTGTATGTTCGCCTTGCCTCTAAAAAATTAGGAGGAAAAAGGATAAAAAATACCCTAACACATGCTTTAAAGATATGATATTTTAGTTTTTTTCAATAAATGTTTATTAAAATGATATAGTTTTAGAATAATATTTTTTCTAATCTTTAGAAGGTAAGGCAGATAAGTATTATTCTCAAAGAAAATTAAGGAGGACATATGAATATGACATGTAACAAATTAAATTTTTTTCCCTCAATGGTTTCTCCTTCATAATATATAAATAGATGTTAAGTACTTATTAACTTTTATTAAATAAATATTAAAAAAAAAAAAAAAAACTCTCCTCCTTTCTTTTATTACTTTGATTATAAAAGAGTATTATAGACATTATAAAAATTCTTGATGTACTTATAATGTATTTTATTAACGTATTTCTATTTATATAAAATTTAAAATTAAATTTTTATTAAATAATAAAAAAATTTGATAGACATACCATAGTAGAATTTTTAAAAAAATTAAAATCATTATAAATTAGCAAATATATCTTTTAAATTAAAAATTATGAATTAAAGTTTGATTAGTTAGTTGGGGGAAAAGAAAAAGAAGCTAAAATTGAATTTAATGAAGGATGGTCAAAAATGGGAGGCTAAATTTAATTAATAAGGGGAGAAAAAAGACTAAAGTAAAATGGTAGATTTTTTTTGGTAGAAAAGTAAAATGGTAGATTTACCAAATAAAGAAAATATTGACACGTGACAGCAAAAGAACATATTAAGGAATGCTTGTAAAAGTGACATGTGATATATTTGCCTTGAATGATTTCTGCTTTAATATATATATATATATATATATAGATTTTATCTAAATAATTGGTCTATTTTATCAATTTTTGATTTAAAAAAATTTAAATTAACAAAAAATAACAACAAATATATATTGAGGGTATAGTAGTCAAGTGACATTAATTAAGCTTTTGAACTTGATTTTGTTTTTTTTTTTTTTTCTCCATAATTTTGGACTTTGATATTATCCAATCTCATTAAATAACAATTTAAAAAATACTTAATTGTAAAATAAATTACCAAATAAAGAAAGTTTTGTAATATGGCAAAAATACCTTAAATTAAGGATTATATTAAAATTTAGTACATAATATGATTTTCCTTTATTAGTTTCTCTCTTAATATATAGATAGATATAGAATAAATTTCTAATGCAATATGACCAAATAGTTTAGCCAAACAAAAAAAATACGAAATAGAAGATGAAAAGCATCAAATCTAAAACAATTAACTAGATAAAATTTATGAAAAAAAACGAAAAATCAGGACATCATGGCCAGGATGTCCTGAAAATCTGGGATCCAAAACTTATAATTAAAAAAGAAATAAGTACAATTTTATGAAATGATATTAATAAAACTTGAATGATATAACATAAAAGGGGTTGGGTTGCTATTGTATTTTAAATAGTTAATACCACATAATTTTAATATAATTATCTATTATACCCTTACATTTTTTTTTTAAATTCTACATTTTTTTATTTCTTAATAAATTAAAACTATAATAGTTAATTAAAATAGGCCAAGATGTCCTTATAATTAAAAAAGAAATAAGTATAATTTTATGAAATGATTTTAATAAAACTTGAATAATATAACATAAAAGGGGTTGGGTTACTATTATATTTTAAATAGTTAACACCACATCATTTTAATATAATTGTCTATTATACTTTTACATTTTTTAAATTCTATTTTTTTTCTTAATAAATTAAAAATATAATGGTTAACTAAAATAAAAAATATGGCATTAATAATTGAATATGTGATAATAACATCAATCATAAAAGACAAAAAAGATGACTTTTTTGTGCTTAATTTTTGTATGTATCTAAATTCAAGATTTTTTTACTGACATTATTGTTTTTTCATACTTAACCCTCTCTGCATGAATAACTTTAATATTGTTAAAAAAATAAAGCTTCATACTTTAATTATACAAATATTATATAATCACTATTTAAATTTTGTGAAATTTTAATAAAATTTTAAAAAATAATACAAAAGAAGTGAGACTATTATCACACCCTAAATAGTTAATATCACATTATTTTAATATAATTATCTATTTTACCTTTACTTTATATTTTTTTCTCCAAATTCTACATTTTTTTGTTTCTTATTAATTATTATTAGTTATTAATTACTTTAAAAAAAAAAAAAAGGAAATGGAAACCTTGCGAGAAATGGCTAGAAAAAAAAAAGAAGAAGAAGAAGAAGAAGAAGAAGAAAAGAAAAACAACAATGTTCCAAGTGTTCATGTAAAGAAAAGCGCAGCAAAAAATGTACTGCACAATTTAAATATATGTATACTTGTAATATATTAATTGATGGTAGAATAACTCATTAAATAGTATAATATTTTTTTATTTTTCTGACTCTAGTAATAATAAATGTTTTTCTAACTTATATT